TTGATTGATTTACTTTGATTCACCTCTAATTTATCCAACAAAATCTACGTGTCTAACACAGAATAAAGTAAAGAATCGAGGGTTTGCCATAGTTTGGTCTATGTTAAATATATGTCTAACGCAAAATGAGATAAAAATGAGATCAGAATTGATAGTTTGAGATTCATTACGACTATTTCTTCACTCTTACCATTTGAAACATGTACTTCTAGAACCTTATAATGGAATCTCTCTCTCTCTCTCTCTCTCTCTCTCTCTCTCTCTCTCTCTCTCGCATCCCTACTTGATTGTAACGTATTTAATTCACTAAAATAAAGCACCGGGTGTACCCATTTCTTTTCCATTTAGGCCAATTATGGAAATGATTAAATTAATAATTAATGCTAAATTTTCTCGCTTTGTTGCTTTCTGATGACCATTCATTTTCCATGTCTTCATAAACCCCACATGGGTTCAACCTCATGTAATCATACCTCTTGTAATCATATAATGACATGAAAATTGGAATCCCCAAATATTCCTTTTGAATTTTATAATTAAATCAAGAGAAATACTATTCATCCCCACTGGAGATACATCTCCAGTCCATGTGACGTTAATGTAACATTAAATGATAAGTGAAATTAAATAAGTCATTTAATTTCACTTATCATTTAACCAATTATTTACATCCACATAGACTATGGATGCATCCCCACTGGGGATGAATATCATTTTTCTTAAATCAAAGATGGGGAAATATGTGATTAAAAAGTTGATAAAAATTGTAAGTCCCACAAATTTTGTAATTGAAAATGAATTTGAAGTAATTGAGGTCAAACATGAACTAAATTTAACATTGAAAAAAATATTGACTTTCTCGCTCTTGGCTTTTTATTAGAGTTTTCTATCTTGAACTTGTCTTACAATCATCTTAAATTTCTAAAATGATTACAATTTTTTTTAAAAAAAATTATAAAGACGTGCTTGATACATAATATTAAATACTTATTCTATCGTTTATAGATTTAATGTTGATGATTTAATTCACTAAGAAAACGAATGTTTACAAATGGTTAAGATTCGATTATTAAAGGGATTTATTTGTCTGTTTGTCTAATTATACCCCTCTTTGAGCTCATTATTCAAAAAGTTATTTTTAAAAAAAATTCATTTTTAATCACACATTCTTTCAATAAAATAATTTGCGTGTAAATTCAATTTTGTTTCTTAACCACATTCTCCAAGTAATCATTATTACAAAATCCTTTTTTTTTAGGTGAAAAAGGGGATCCATCTCTTTTCTAAAAGTCGACAAAAGAATTAGGCAATAACATGCATATACAATCATGACATCATTTACATTTATGGTAATCATGTGCATCACATTTCACGTATACACGTATCCATCACATGAAATAATTGATTAATTGTCAAAAGAAATAAATTTCATATCGATTAATTATTGAAATATACACCATTATATAATTAAAATAGCTCTCTTAATAAAATCGATCTTTTAATTTCAGAACTTTTTTGTTCAAATAATTCACCATCTTGTGAGAATGCGTTAAAAGATAAACTCTACAATGACTAATTTTCTAAATAAAGACCAATATACAAGGGTCTGAGCTACCCCGATTAAGCCCTTATTTGACAATTATTAAAATGATTTTTTTTGGCAAAAGTGAGTTTTGGAATAGTATTTTTTGAAAATTGTGTGGTAAAAAAGTAGGAAAAGATTTTGAATTTACGTACATAATATTTTATTATACGAATATATGATTGAAAATGAGTGGAAAAAAATCATTTTAATGATTATCAAATAAGGGCTAAATAAGACTTTTTAAAATGTAATTCCAAGTCTTAATATGAGACGAGTTACGAGTCAATGTTGATCAAAAGTGACAAACAAATTAATCAAATGCATTGAAACTAATGCAATGACTTTAACAAGACAATACACAATTTAGAAAGAAAACGAAACATGATTAATTTTTAGAAGAAATTACACAATAACCAGTGTTTAAAGATTACTTTTCAAAAATCAGGTACATAGAGTTTAATTAATCATAAATCATGTAATAATTATATATTTTAATATTACTAATAATATTATAATTAATCAACCACCCCAATTCTATTTCTGGCAATTCATCTCTAGTCCCATTTTCAAACCCTAAATATCTCTCCATCACTCTCTCTTTACTCTCGCTTCTCTCTTTTCCAATGTCTCTGTCGTGGGTCACCCTCTCTTCTCCATTCTCTCTATCGTTGGTCCGACGATTTAGCGCCAACATAAAGCTCTGGCGCTCGACACTCCATCATGAGCTGAGCTCCGACAATCTATTCCGAATGTAGAGCTCGTGCAAACATTACCGTAGAGCTGTGAATACAGATGTTTCGACCAGAATGAGCGCGAATCACGATAGTGCTTGATTTTTTTGGTTGTTTTGATTTGTGGTGGCTAATAGTTGACGCGGTAGCGACGGTGATGTGGTGCGGTGATGGTGGGTTTGTGCGCCACCACACACATTTTCTTTTCTCTGTGAGCACCATTTCATAGTGTCCCTCGTAGCGTTGGAGAAATCGCACGATGACCGCGAACAACACAGGGTCGCTGTACCGGCTTCTTGTACAGAGTCGCCGCAGCGCGAGATCGGTGGTGGTGTTCGTTTTTTCTAATTGTTTTGATGTTAGTTGTTGGTGGTTTACTTTTCAGTTTGCAATGGGTTGTTTCCAGTGTTGTGATGGTGAGGTGGTAGTGATTGTTTAGTGGTGCGGTTGTTTGTGTTGCAAAATAGTGTTTCTGGTGGTAGCGGCAATGTTGTTGTTGTGGTGGTGGTGGTGTGGTATTGGCGGCGGTTGTCGGGTGATGGTGGTCGCAAGTTGCCTTAGTGGCAGTGGCGATGGTATTGGTGACGGTGGTATGTGATCATTATTTGGTGTATGTGATTAATTATTTGGTAATTTGTGACAAAGTATGGATGGTGGAGCGGATCGGGATGGGGTGTTTTGTTGTATGTGACCAATTATTTGGTTCAACTTAAAAATATGTGACTGATCTATAAATTTTGATCTACAATTTTTTTGATCTATGACCAATAAAATAAATTGCGACATATAAAATTTTTGATTCGTGACCTTGAAATAATTTGTGAACAATTAATTTGATAAAATGTGATCGGTAAATAATTTGCGACTCATAAGGATGCATCTGTGACCATGAATTATATAATTGTGATTTTAATATATTTAATTAATTAAAAAATACCTGATTTTTGTATTTTTTTTAACTTAATAACTGAAAATTGAATTAGTGATATTTAACACCTAATTTATGAACTATTCCCTTAATTTTACCGAAACCTTAACAGGGCTGGTTTAAAGCCCAAGTCTTGGAGTTCGTGTCCAAATGCTTTAGACCCAGCAACTTTCTTTTCAGTTTTCACTAGGAAAAATACCAGCCAAGCCAAGGATGAGTGCAGCTTAATGATTTAGAATTT